ACTGAGCTTCCTCAGGCAATGAGAGTAGATGTCCAGCAGTCTTTACCTGCTCCTAATTAAGAAACAGATTCCCCCATCTAGGCGTGCCCACGTCAGACTCCTCATTCACTATCTGACCAATGAACCTAGACCAGTTATCACCACGGACTTTGCATAGCCCATGGATCTGTCTGCTAGTCTAGTGCCTGGCATATATTTCCATTACAGACTTCCGTCATCCTGCCTTTCCCCCCTTTGTGTCAAGTTGCCAGTACTGATCATTGCCCTTTTCCACATTACTTCAGCTGAAGCCGTATTTCTTGAATACGCAGGTGAAGGCTAAACACTGGTACACTGTCAGTACACTGGTCTTCACCACCTATTAGTAAAAAGGACCCATTGGCAGTCGATATAGCCACACAGACTTGACAGATCCAAGCCTGTAGTAATAGTCTGCTGGGAACTATTGGCAAAACACTAATAAGGAACAAATCAAACTTACATCTCCGGGAGAGATTTTCCAAGATTCCTGGAGAGGCTATAGCACATAATGTCAAAGTGGGATATGTTCTCTTTGCTAATGGGGTTGCCTTTAGATGTGTCCATAAGTTTTGCAGCTCTAATTAATAAAATCTGGTGTTGGAAATTGGCAGTGGACTTCCGAGGCAACTAATTGATACCCAAAGATCAGGCATGCCATTGCTTGGAGGCTTTGGAAGATTTTTTTTTGAGGCTATGGAAAAACTATTTTTGCAGGGTATGACCAACAGGTGCTACTCCACAGGCGTCTTTTTTAAAATCTCCTAATCAGTAGCAATTTTTAAGGAGTTAGAACCAGTAGGGAAGTGTTTCACCATTATCTCTTGCAGCATGATAACCTGAATATGTTCTCTTACTCATTTCCTAGCCTCTTAGTCACCATCCATGAGTTTCTTACGCAGATGTCCTTGCTGAGATACTCCTCTGCTCCCTTACCTCCACCTCACCTGCCTGCCTTATCCCCAGTCACTATCTGGTTCTACCTTCTGTCAATAAACAACACCCTAAAGGGTTAGTTCGGACAGAGATGTTCTTTGCCAACCTCAGTCTAAGTGGGTAACGACCTTGAACTTAACAAATCATCCTTACCTGTAAGTCAAAATCACTTCTACTCAGTCTGGTTGGATCAGCCCTTTACCTTCCGTTTACTATACTTAACTCTCAATCCACGGAGTTACCCTTGCATTTGCAGACCCTTGCACACTTTATCTGCTTATCTGCATCTGTTGATGTTGCCTTGGTTGAAGTCATTACTATTAGCATCATGACAAGCATTGTTTAAAGTTGGGAGCTGCTGCTTGAAGACCCTAATTACAGGGGGAAGGGGCCATGTGAGGAAGATAAGGTGGCTTGCAAATTGTGGGATTCCCTACAGTTCCTTAGTGCCAGGGACGAACTTCATGAAATCTCTATGCTCACTGCAAAAAATATCTAGAAAAAACACATTAAATGATTTACCCTTAATTTAAGAATGTAAATAAGATTACTTGCCAATAGAATTTGTATTTTTACTCTTAATGATTAGATACTATGCACTTGAAAAAAGACAATGCATTTTTTCCCCCTAATTTTAATATGTTTTCTTGTTTCATTGGCGAAGTGTCTTACTTCCTTCCTCAATTCAAGAAAAAAGACACTTATTTTAAGAAAATTTTTTTAGTGTAAGTAACATATGATGGGAGGCATACAGGCTATTTTTTCTATCCCCTTCCTTACCACCATCACTATTTAGACAGTACTTACCAACTTTGGCCAAAGACATCTTACCTATTAGACAATTTCGAACAGAGCCTTGGTCTCCTGCCTTCCCAGGTAACACCTCTCCTCCCAAAGAAGAGCTGGAGGATAAGTGCAAGAGGGCAGCCTAGGTGTCTCTGTTGAGGCTAATCGGAAGACAGTGAATGCACATGCAAGCCCTTCTAGCTGGACCTTCCACTTTAGGCTGATGGCCATGTTTCTGTAGAGTTGCTGTTGTCATACTCCACCCATTTTCTGATGAACCACTGATTAACGCTCCTTGACATGTTCAAGCTTAGGATGGTGTTTTTATACAAAACTTTGCTGTAAACTTCTTCAGAACCTTTTATCTTACAGTATCTACTGGGAGATGAAGTTTGAAGTCGGTAATTTCAACAGTTCTGCCACCAGATGGTATGTAAATACAGTATCTTTTGAATGGTGTAGCCTTGGCTTCCTCTGACAGTCTAAATTTGATCACATTTTTTAAATACCAAAATATACTTTTCATAACAAAAGGAGAAAAAATTATTTAAAGCAGTTTTATTGATGACATTAAATGAATGAAAATCCATCTATTGCAGTCATCGTAGAAGGCTTTCGATCTTTTTGGGAAAGTTTTTTTGTTTTCATCAACAGAATTCATGTTGTAGCAGGAACTTGAATGAATAACCTATTGATGGCAGTAAGAAACAAACTAAATAGCTGGAGAAAAAAAATAATCATTAATAATTGCCCTGTTAAATGTTGAGGTATAATGTGTAAAACACACTTAGATGAATGGGCAGAGTACAATCATTCATACATAACATATATACATGGGCACATTAGCACACACACAGTTTTTTCTATTGCACAGCATGATAAAACTGGTAACAGAGGACAGTTTAGTAAACGAAAAGATAAAGATGATGCTTCAGACTTTGAATGAGAAAGGCAAGACATTAGAGATGGAAGCCAAAAATACATTTTTTTTCCCCCCAGAGTGACTGGCCTTTATGCTTTTAGGGCCTACAGGCCCCACCGCATCCGGAGTGAGTCTGTATTCACAAAAAAGAGAGTATACTGTCCTTCTGAATATGACATTTACGGGACAGAAGTCAAACAAGAATGGCAACAAATACAAATATAAGGTCATACTGGCAACCTAGAAAGCACTTAAATGTAGTCCACAGAGATGTGGGGAGATGTTGCCTGTTCTTTTGAAGAATATGCAAATTATTACTGTTATTCCAATGATCAAGAAACCAACATCCCAAAAACATATGTCCATCAAGATGACCAAAAAAGCCAAAAAAATAAGTGTTCAAGAAAGAAAAGTGCATTTTTTTAAATACCCGAAAACATTAAAAACACTCTTATAATAAACATCTGAAATAGTTCTTTTTTTTTTATCTATAGTGCAACAACAGACAGGATCAAATGAAGAATATTATTAACCTGCAGGCAATCAAAGCTCTTTAAACATCTAATAGCCATTTTTTTTTTTTTTTTTTGCCACAGTAGCAGTACAGTTAAAAAGGCAACTCAATGATTGATGCATGAACACAAACATGCCAACATTATACTGTACACAGCGCTCTTTTTATATAGAAATAAATAGCTGAATTATCATCTTCTTAAATAATTTCCATTTCTATATGAATCAGATGCACATTTAATATAAAGTATCTAGTACACAACTGCAATTTCACACTACTGTTAGACATAATATAATTCTCTATGCGTTATCCTTCATTAGACTCTAAATGAAGACTTGTAAACTTCAGCTTTTCCACTCTGACTCATCAACTTGTTATAACAACATCAAATGTTGGTCATTTTTTTAAAACTTTTTCTTTTTTTAAATCTTCAAACATTATGTACAGGGTAGCTGATGACCTACGCAGGATTGTCTGAAACTCAAAATCAACAAGTGCTTTCTGTTAGTTTTATTCTAAACAGTGAAGTTTCTCCCTTTCATCACGAACCTTCATCCTTCAGGGAAGTTATCAATCAATCAATCAATCCGGATGGGATGAAAATAGGGAGACCGTGGAGTCACAGCTTAAAGAACATTTCCAACAGGATGACGAGACACATAATCCAACATGATCACGGTGTGCAAGTTAAGCATAGGGTTCCCACACATTTGTTTCAAACTTCCACATTCACTTGATTTCTCTTTTTTGCTCCATTTATCACATAGAAGTACAAAAATTTTATAGCATGTATAGAAAATATTCTGTAGTGTTTTGGATTGAGTATTAGTTCTAAAACGCTTAAATCCATTTCAACATCTAAACCAGAGTCACACATAACAGGCATAAAACTGTAAGGAAGCAGACATTTTAGTGAGTTTCCATTTAGTTCCTTAAAAAAATCCTAACACTGTGTTTTGTTTTTGCCATGATCTCAAGGTAACAAGTTTACATAGTTCTCTTTAGTTTAATTATTCAAATCAAATATAAAGAGATCAAGCTTTTACTGTTATCATGAAGGTTTCATGGCTAACTTTGTTGGGACATTTAGATCAGGCTTTTCTCTCATGATAACAGATTTGATAGATTAAGACTAATTCTCTTGACTGCTTTGCCAAATAAAGAGATAACACCACAAACTTGCTCGTACATTTTACAATTATAATGGCTCATTATCTTGAAATAAAATGATTTTGATTTTGTTAGCTATAATCTAAATATTTAGGCTATCATAAAAAACAAGATCTCAATCTTAATTTATTTCGAGGACTAATTTCTTATCTCACTATCCCAAGGTAGCAGGATTTTAGCTCATTTTGTTTTTTTTAATTAAAATTAACTAATCTTGTCATAAGAGGATCAGATCTTGGGCCTTTGTTTAGATGATAATATCAGTGTTTTACACGCTTAAAATCTTGGTCTAATTTTCTCATTATAAAGCTGTATAATAAATAAATCTTAAGATAGCATAAGGTTCCATGGCAAGCTTCGGTTTTCCTGTCCCGTTATCTAAAGATAATGTCATTTCAAGACAAGTTTTTTGTCTCAAAAAGTCAGTAATGATACATCAAACAATATTTTATCTTATGTTAGGACAATATCCCTGATTGGATTGTACTTAAGGTACGGCAGTTGTGGAGACAGTTTCATCAATATTACTATCTAGAGATACGTCTTTGGGCTAATTTGGCTATTACTTTGTGGCAAGACTTCGAAGCTCAAAGGTTTGGAACAATGTGCTACTATGCTTATTTGAACCAATTAAAGGTATAGTGGAGGAAAAAAAGAACATGCACAACCATGTACCCGCTCCCGAGGGAACGTCTATTAAATGCATAGGAGAGTGCATGTTGCTGTTTGCATCGCTTATACAAGCTTAATGTGTACAAACATCCACCTTAACCCATAAATCCCTCAGTCACTATATAGAGCGGGGACTATATAGTACACTTTATATATATGTAGACTTTATATGTAGCAGACTTTATATTTATACGAGCACAGTGAATTTACCGTTCGGATAGATGATCACTGCTTTTTGCTCCCCGTGGGTACAATACAAGTTTACTCTCCCCATTTTCACTCCACCGGTAAGTAAAAATGGGGATGAGCACAAAGGATGGTCTTACATAAACATATCAGAATTATTGACATTTAGGGGGACCAATTATTTAGATTATCCACCTGGAAAAAGAACATCCTCTACTATACCTTTAAGTCTAAAAAAGTCCTAGCTTGATCTCTTCTTTCAAAAAGTTATGCCTGAATGAAGAGACCATGAAAATGAAACAGTCATTTTGAATGTTTTTCTTTTATACTTCTTTCATTTACATTTTTTAAATTAATTATGATAAAGCAAATATTTTTACACATTTGGAGCCTTTTTTCCCCATACAATTCAAGACTGTCAACTGCAAATTCTATACTTGTGAGGACTGTGTAGGAACCCTCTAAGCAACATGCTGCAAAAAAAAAGGAAGGACTGCCATATTCTGCCTTTAGACTGATGTCAGCATAGTCCTATCAGATTTTGTGCATTTTTAGTCAAGGTGAATAATGAAATATTGCACTTCAATAAAGTTAGAGAATGAAAACTCTGTGCACCAAAATACAAACCATTTTTGGTCCAAAGTAGGGGGTTACATTCTGTCAAAAGAAAAAAAAACCCAACTGAATCCTTTTTTAAGGACTGGTAAACATATCGAGAAACTTCCAGATCAAGACAAAGCCATCAGACCAGTAGGGTTATGTTTCCACCAAAGCAGAGTGGAACTAGAACCAGAGAATGAACAGAACAGTGTGTCTTCCCCTCAAAGGGTACTGCTAATCTCATTTATATTTCTGCAATACACATTTCCTAATTTAAAGACCTGATCCCTTAGATCATAATCTGAAGCTAAAGACAAGCCCCAGATCTCCTCAGGTTGAGGAGATCTCTACACCACTGGGTGGAAGTAAACTTTAAAAGAGGGTTGAAGCAGGTCAGATAATGAACCCATCTAAAAAGAATAGCCCCTGTGATGCAAATGGCACTGTTCAGTATGAAAACAAACACTTCAACACCTGTACACACCTGGGTAATTTGTTTTATAGCAAACACAACACTTTATATTCAGTTTGAGCTACTTCTGCTTGTAGCAAATTCAGGCCTTTTGGTAGTCACTTGCCTCTTTCCTCTTCGTTTTCTATTTGGCACACCACGGAGAGGGAAACACTCACTGGAATATAGATGAAGGTCGCAACAAATGGCACCAGCGACTTAGGATACTCCATCCCATTCTCCAGTGAAAACAGGTCCATTTGTGACAACAGAGATCGACAAGTCTGAATCCAAATTGGTTGAAGTGGATTTGCTAAAAGAAGGAACTAGAGGGCAATACTGCCGGTAAAATCTGACGGTACCACGATAAATGTGTGTTACAGGGCAGGGCCCCCCCTCACAGTGCCAGGAAGCAGTAAGTGCTTAAAAATGTGGATTTTGCTAGTTTTTTTGGGTTGGGGCAGAATGGGAAAAGCATTTGTTTATTTAGATCACACCCAAACATAAAGCCCCTGTTATAATGCTGTAAGAAGAAAACATATACGTCTGTGGAAAGTGCATATGATCCATATCTTTCGCCTGCAGTTGGTATTGAAGCAAGTCTGTGTCAAGCATAATGCAGAAGGGTAAATGCAGGCCCCACTACAAACCTGGGTTTGCTGGATGAGAAACTCCACATTTAGAGAGAATGTGCATGAGAGGCGAGTTTAAATAATGTTGGATTTCTTTAAGTTTAAACCGGTTGTTCTTCATCAGAGGCACACCAACATTTAGCCCATTTTTATCCAGTCTGCTGCCGTTTGGTTTCAGATTTGTATTTAGTTTTAATATCCTTTGTCATCCTTGCTCTGTATTCATCTATTTAAACTTTCTTGTTTCTTGTGCCGCAAATGCACTCTACCCCCAGGAGGTGGGCCCAAGCTACCTGTGTTCAGCCGATCAACTCAATCTGTAGTTGCTGCCTTAAGCAACCTGCATAAAGGACGTTAGCAGAGGCTGTCTGCTTTCACATGGAGGATTTTGGAGAAACCTGGTCTCTTCTTCAGAGCCTGAAAAAAAAACAAAAAAAAAACAGGATAGAGACAAAGGAAAGGGGACACCTTTAGGGGACGGCTTCTGTAAACAGGGCAGAACACTGCCAAAGTTTTATTTTTCACATTCAAACTTTAACATTAGGATGCTGTATGAAAGATTAAAAAAAGCAGACATTACTGTGAAGCAGAAAGCCAAAACAAATGTTTTTAACTATTTTTTTAAATCTAAAAAATATAAAAATTTAGATGTGTAGTTGTTTGTCTAAAGTAATTCCTTTTTAGTCTCACTAAGCAGAGACCAGAAGAGGCTATTCTTCTTACATAAGTACAAATTCAAACTCTCAGGTTTGTGCAATACACATCTAATGGTTTTCCTGCCAACAGATTCTCCTACCCTCACAATGGATCTCTATGGCTCTTCTACAGTTGCTAAGCACTTAAGGCTCCCCTTGCCCAGTCTGTCAGTTTCAATGGATGGTGGCGTCTTGGAAGGTATGCAGTTGCATCATTCTCTTCCCATTTTTGTATGATATTCAAAGGTTATTGGAGTAAAGGAGGTTAAGAACAAATGTCACACTTGTCAGCCTTTTTTTATAGCATTTATTTAAAATCATTTACATTCCGTCATCTAACTATTATTCCCTACTTTGTATTTTTGTATCCCATAAAATCGAGGATAATTTAAGCTGAGGTCTGTGGTTGTAATACAATGAGATGTGGAAAAGTTCAGGCAGTAGGAATCATTTTTTGAGGCCAATTTACCCGGCACACGTATTATTAGTGGTAAGTATGTTTAAAGCAGGATTTGGAGAAGTCATTCCCCTGACTTCATCATAACACACGTCAGTCTGACCCATCAAAACAACATGTCCAATCATGTGGCATGAAATCAGCTCACACATTCCGTCCTACTCATCCCAAACCAAGAAGTTTCAGGATTGAGTCAGGACTTAAATGAGATGCTTTTTTTTTTTTTACTTTAACTCAAAATAATCCATTTATTATGTCAAGAACTTTTCTCTGTTATATATATATATATATGCTCAGTTAGCAGCAACTTTGGGGGAACCTGAATCCCTGTGAGACCCAGTGAGGCTGTTTACCTGCAGCTTGTTCACCATTTCATCAAACAGCTTTCTGGCTTCTGGGCTGTTGGGGTCCTCAAAGTAGTCGTCTATACCAATCTGCACAACGATGGATTTAAGGTTGCGGCAAACACCTGCGTCGTTGGAAGGAGAATTTTCAAATAGGAAATGTATCTGATTATTTTGTTTGTTAGTGAGAATTGATCAATTGTTTAACGGCATAAATTACCACATGGTCCAGAAATGGACACCAGATTACACTATGAATCAGCCCCACCCCACAAAATAAAAATAAAATGATTGTACACTCACTGTTAAAGTGAAGCAAGGCTTTAGGGGTGACTGGTGTAGATGAAAGAACCAGCATCTCCAGACCCTTTAGACCCTCTCTGCAAACCTCTGCTGCTACCTCCTGGTTGATTTCGCTGACATGGTCCAACTCCAACACCTGGAGACGCATGCAGTTCCTCGCTGAACCGATGGGAAGGAAAGAAGAACAGCCGAGATTTATGAAAAGTGTGAGGGAAGAACAGGTTGGCCACTTCAGAACAGCAAATGAATCCAGTTGGGTTTTATTGTCCATATTTTCCAGAAATCATAACACAAACCTATGGTTGCTCTGTGATTCAACAGCTACTTCACAACCTTTTTATTCATTTTTTTAGGTTAACCTTCTGTCATGATTCTGCCCTTTTTGGTTCTGTTTAAGTTTTCTTTTTGACTTTTCAGTTATACTTTGATTCGTGTCTTTCTGTGTTTGCTATTGTATCAGTTTCATTTCTTCATTTCTATTCTAGTTGTTTTTGGTTGTGGAATAATCTGTCCTTGGACGTCAGACAAGCCTCCTCTCTTTCAGAGTTTAAGGCCTTCTTAAAACATTGCTGTTTGCTGAGGCATTTTCTTCATACTGAGAGCATGATCCTATTTTTATTTATGTATTTTATTTTTATCTTCTACTTTAATTACGTTTGAGTTATTTCAATTAACTTTAATTTGAACTATTTTAACAATTGTTATGCTTGTCTACTTTAATTTTACTGTTGTATTCATTGTATGTACAGCACTTAGACGACCTTCGTTATTTTAGAAGAATTTTTTATAAATAAAGGGATATTGCATTGTATATTTCTATAACAAAAATTTCAAACTTCTCAAGACATTTCTTAGACCAAAGTTGTGAAGTGCACAACCAAATGTTCTCCTGTCAACAGATGCTTCCGTCTTGATATCATTTAGATACCTTGGATTAAAAGGGTCTAAAAACAAATGCGTGCTACGGCTTTTTTTTTTTTTTTTTTTATGCTATCTTGCTTTAACTTGATAAATATGAAGAAAATATCAGAGAATATGAATGCTTTTAATGGCATCAGGTAAAAACAAAGTAACCCAAAAAAAAAACAGCAACAAAAATGCAGTAATTTGGCTGTATGTGCAATATGTACCCAGTGAGGCCAGTCCCTGAATCCCACATCCAGCTCCACCCACACCTAGAGCACGGAGATGTGGCCAGCATCTTCCAATGGTCTGCAGACATCGGTTACTGAAACGTGCAGGTTGTTGACTGAAAGCAACAAAACACTAATGAAAACTTGTTCATTACACTAGTTTTGCTCTTAATATGACATGTTGTTACTCATTGTTACATTACTTTACCATGGATGTAGTGGCGCCACCTGCAGTGAAATAATGTCCCTACAGCCGGCGCCGAGGGCCCAGATGACCTCCTGGCCAACCGGGTCTGTGGCGCTCCTTGGAACAATGTAAAAATACACAATTTAAAGTTATGGCCATCGTTCGTCCTTCTACCTAGCCACAAAATTTATGTTTAAACGCAGTGATAAACATCTTAACCATATATCAAATAGTATAACTAGAGGCACAATAAAATAAAATAAAAACCAATGCGTCAAGCATAATGAGCCTTAAGTCATATTTACTAAATGCAGTGTCCTAAAGCATTTACTTATCTTTGCTGATCACAGCTTACAGCTTATGAGAACCCTAAATTCAGTTTATCAGATGAATATAGTATTACATAAGACCAATGCAAGAAAAATCTAAATTTAGAAATGTATTGTTTTAGTAAACAAAATCAAAGGGAAGGCTGCTTATTCAGCAGCTGTCCAAGGGTTTGTGTCATGACGCAGGTTTACTAAAAACTCAGTTTTCTAAACCTGAAATGAGAGTTTCTGTTTCACAAAGAGAGTTTACTCAACCTCTTTTTCTGTTACCATAGTAACTGTGATTTATTAGAATGTGGAATACATTTAGATAACAAAAGAGCAGTGTCACATAAAACAAAATCACAAAATCTAATTGTACATAAGCCTGATTTAAAATGAAAAGGATAAAGTAAAATAGATTAATGATAGTTTGTGGTCCGTCTGTGGGCTTTTCACCTGTAGGTTACGGCCTGGAGGGCGCGGCAGTAGCAGCTGGCCAACCATAGGGAGCGATCAGTCAGCAGGTTGGGACAGTGTGAAATCTTTAGTATCAGCAGGTTACTTCCTGTGGCCTTTAACAACGCCTCCAAACCTTCCTCGAGACAGCCACTTTTACAAAAATATACGAGAAGGTCAGAAGAAGAAAAAATGCCAGACACAGAAATAAAGGTCATTTTTAATCATACTTCACTTCTAACAACAACGTCCTAGCAGCTCTGCCGCTGCTGCTTTTTACAGTAATCATCAGGCGTATTCAGAGCAAAACATTACAGACTGAAATTTATGTCCCTCACACAAACAACACCCCGCTTGACTCAATGTTGCTGGTTTCCTTCCGGTAAATAAAAACTAATATTTGACACACTGGGGATAATGAACTGCATTGAAACGTCAGTATTCATCAATTGTCATCAGTCGCTGTTCAGAAAAATCGCTCAGCCCAGCAGTTATGCAAACAATGGGGTTAATCAAGTCACGGCAACACACAGGGCAGAAATAAATACCTGAGAGGAGGTAAACCTTTAATCTACGAAAGAAACAGCAAATACAGCTGTGTCTCACCGTGTGCTTTTAAGGTAGTCCTCCTTGGATTCCTTCTTGCCGCGCTGCCTTGGTTTAAGGTTTTGCAGAATGAGAGAGTGCGTCTGAGTACACCACTGAGACAATGTGGTCAGAAACTAGAAAACAACAATTTACAACAATTAAACTCACTGTTCCACAAGCCTCTGCTTTAAATGAAGCATAACGAATGAACGTCGACTCTGCACCTTGGAAGAAATACGGGCATTTTCCAGCAGCACTCTGGTCCACACAGCTGGGTGACGAGCCACAAACCTCCAGTTGCGGCAGACCTCGGCAGTTCTCAGGAGGGTTTTCGTGTCCAGGTAGGTGAAGATGCAGAAAAGGGCTGCGCGCATCTTCAGGATCTCCGGACTGATCACCTCGTTGGATTTTGAAGGGCTCTTTTCATGACGGCATGGCTTGCTGTAGACCACTTCAGACCGACCTGCAGCAACAACAGCTTGTCAGACCTTTAATATTTACTTACGGAGCCCTGAAAAAGAATCTAGTCACATAACAATCTTAGGCTAAAGTGTATTGCATCTTGATTTAGGCCAAGATTAAGCAGTACATAATTTGTGCAGTGGAAGAAAAATGAAACACAGTTCTTCAAAGTTTTTTTCAAATGAAGCTCCAAAAAGTTTGTTGTGTGAATCTATACAGCTCTAAACAAAATTGTGCGTAATTTTTTCTTCCACTTCACAGGTAAAATGTACCCAAAAGCACTGAGGATATAGGTCACATCCCAAGCTGGGAGCATCCCACTAAGCATTGTTCAGTCAGTCATCCGATGATTTAAAAGTAATACAATAAATGCTAACCTACCAGGGCCGGCTAAATGCTGGGGCAAGAGAGGGCAGCACCTCCTTAAAATAAATGCCTTGCCCGCCCAACTCAAACTTGCTAAAAGTTGAGGAACATCACTCAGTTTCTGCGGCGCACCATGCTGTGATGAATGATTTTGTCCTGGCTGTTTGCAGTCAGCACAGACCAAACTGCTACCCCTCACTTTCCAATAAACAACCAATCAGCAATCAGTATGCAAATGAGCCAAAAACACAAACAAAAAAATTCTTCTGCTTTTCTATACCATTTATCTTGATCTTGTTTAAGAAAAAAAAAATCTTTGAGAATATATTTGACCTTTTGATTATTGTTATTAGGCTCAATTCAGTTTAAGATGCATAATGACCATCTATTAAGATTAAGAATATATTTGTTTTATGATTATTATTTTCTATTTCCCCCAAGGAAGTATTATCACTAAATGTGGTCAGGGGTTTTCCCCTGACCCAGTAACCTTAAGAACTGCAATAAGAGCTTTTCTTCAGGGATCTGTTTTTGTGGAGTTGGACACAACTTATTTCATTTCTCTTATTAACATGAATAGTTCATGTAACAACTAAAAGAGATCATGATTAAAACGGAGCAAAAAGAACAAGAAATGTAAATCTGTACACTATTCACATGAAAAGAAAATTAACTTCTTAGCTCAAAAGACATTTACATACAAAATTCAAAGACATAAACAAAATAAAAAATAAAAAGTAAACCACAGAAAATAGTGTATTCAATGGCCAATATGCCTAGAACCGACCCTAAAACCTACCAGCCTAATTCATCAGCCTTGCACTAATCACTGCACATTGGTTTAGGTTAACCAACACAAACATTCGGTGTGATTTAGTGGAGGACGGTGATGAAAAAGGCTGGATATGTCTTTTCTTACTGAGCATGTAAACATCTGCTTTCAACAGTTTTGTCTCCAATGTTGCCTCAAAACTAGTTTAGGATCACTGTCAATCTTTAGCAATAGGGTCATTTTGATTTTCTAAGGTAAAGTTCTGTGAAGTTATAGCAGTCAGTATCGGTCATTTAACATTAATTATGATGCTGGTTTATGGAAAAAAAAAGAGGTTCTCACTAGAGAATCCAGCTAAAGGTGAGTGGAACAGTACTTAAAGGATTTCTGGCATTCCAAACCAAAAGAGGATTGTTATTCACATAGACAGGTTCTGTCCCTCTTTAGACTGAGCTCTGACGTTTACAGTAGTTCCTCTGAAAGTGTTTGTTTTTAAATACATAAGTCTAATACAAAACCAATAGGTAAATTCTGTGCTTACCCATTGATGAGACTTAAAATCCTGGGAATCATGTAGTGGAAGCTTATATCTTGTCACATGGTGGTGCTAGTGTCCAACCAAAGAGCCACAATTTAGATTACATAATTAGTTTGCTTTATTTCATACCACTTTTTATCCAATTATTGCTGTTGTTATGGTGTATCCAATCCCAGCCTGCCTTAACTCTACTAATAAATGTCTCCTCCATGACTCACTTCATTTTTGGCCTTGGATTGCATCTGTGTGAAACCATCAGGGCTGTGAACCAGTACATACTATTTGACTCTTTCTCTCGGTCACACACGCACACCTCCTACACTCAAGACTGCCCGACCAACTATAAAAAAACATGCCTGTGTGCTTGTAGATACATACCAACAGCTCTGGCTAAGACTCTCCTAATAAGGAGAACTGCGTCAGAGCAGAGGGGTGCCAGTAACATGTAACATGGGACAAAAAAAACTACTTTACAGCTACAGAGAAGGACAAATTTGTACATGTGAATTTGTCACTAAGCTGTGGCCCAGATTCTTCTAGTTCCAGACTGCTACGGTCCACCTGATAAGTCCACAGCAGATGGGAAAGGCAGAGTGCAGCAGCAGGGTTTGTAAGGATGTTGGCACCACATGATGTTACAGAGAAATGCACAATCTGTTGTGCAGCAATAAGTGGTTATCTAGTATGTAGCAAAATCTTCATAGAAACATAGGAACAGCCCATGAATTTTCTTGTATTCTTGCAACTAAGACTAGTTAAACTGAAAATCTAAACAGTCCCTTTGGACGTAATTTGACAAAATCAATCTCAGCATAAATCCAGCCGCTTCGCGAAGATCTGAATAGGATGTGAAAACACAGGAGCACAGCTCTCAGGTCTGTGGTTTTAATTTTTGGAGATGTTTAAATCAGGGTAAGGTTATAACAGTTTCCAAGCTTTTAATACCTGACTAAGTAGAATTTGAATCATCATCTAAAAAAAAAACAATTAGCTGAGAACCTACCAAGATATGGCCATCCACCTAAATTCATCGAGCACAGACAGTGGGAGAAAAAGCAGCTGTTGAAAGAAAGTCATAGCTGTTTGCAGTTTGCCAAAAAGTAATCTAGGGAACAACATATGAAGAACAACAAGACCTGCAGCAAGTGGCAGCATCATGCTGTGGGGTTGCTGTTTTTTCAGTAGGGACAGTTTAGTAGGAAATGTCATGCATGGTTATACATTCTCTTTCATAGCAAAATAATTAGTATGTTGAAGTTTAGTGATCTTGTATTTTTGTGTGAAGGAGTGTAATTGTTTCAGGACGCTGCAAACTGTATCTTTTTGCAGTTAAGATATGTGGTGTTGGTGTATTGCCTTGTCCCTCATTGGAGACACTTTGTTTAACCTCCCCATATCTGCTTCTCTTCTATGTTCTGCTTTGTGCTGCAAGAACCATGGAGGGTGCGATAGCTACACTCACTGACTTTGTGTTCCTGAAGCTGTTTTCTTTTAAAATAAACTTACAAAGAGGGAATGATCTCTTACTTTATTGAAAAAGTGTCTTACTTATAACTGAGATTTCCGTAAAGATAATGGGATGATGGTGGCTTAAGGTAGAAGAGTTATCTTGCTGTCTTTAAGCTTTGGGTCTGACTCCAGCTCTCACCCTTGCACAGTGTTAATGTGCCCTTTACCCAAACACCTATGTTCAAATGTCCTATTGATCTGTTCATCATCCCCTGATTACTGTTTGTTAAACATGGTTCTAATCTCCAGAGCTCTGAGTGGTCTGCATGTTTAGAATAATTTTCTCTGAAAGTTCAGTCAATTTACAATCAAAACTGACTTAAAAAATACAGCCAGAACTACAGGGGAATGATTTTAGAGTTAAACATTCCAGGTCCAGAAAGTAAACATCCTGCCTAGTTCCCCTTCATCCTTCACTTTACCAGGCAATCATTTTCTGTCTATGTTTTGAGGCTGGAAGCAAATGGTTATAACAGAATTTGTACTTTCTGAACCTCGATTGTATCCAACCAAACGGTTTCAGATCAAATCAAATCATGTTCATGAGATGGAATGACTCAGTCAGTCTAAATAAGTTCTCAGTGGGAAAAAAACCCAAAACATTTCATTAATTGAGATCAAAATATTTTGCAATGAAGGATGGGCAAAAAAAAGTTCTAAAACACCCTAATTCATGTGGACTCATTGAAATAGGAAGTACTGCACTTATTATTTGTAAGAATAAAAGAAAAGCTTGTTTAATCTTTCACCAACTTCACAATGTCTCACTGCTCAGAGATGGTTTAATACGTAAATTAAGGGAAATAAAGATACTTGTATTTGTGACTAAATGTAAAATCCAAAGAAAGGGATGCAAATACCTATGTAAGGCTCTCTGTCTACTTTAGGTGCAACTGTTCTGCTTGTTTCTCTGAAAGTTGAATCTGCTTTTAATTACAAACAAAGTTGGAAAACCAGCCCCTTTATTCTGGGATTCAGGACACAAACAGAATGTAAATCATCCCAGAGCAGCTTTTTACCTGTGTTGGGGCGATACGCTGCCCTGCTGTGGTGAGAATAAGGTACTGCAGACTGCTGAACCTCAGCCACTGCTCTCCTCTCTTGCTCCCACATCTCCACTTCAGACTCTGTAGTCCGGGAACCAACGTCTGACACGTCCCCCTCCTCGCCTTCAGTGCTGTTCCTGTATGGTCGTCGCTGCCAGTTTTGAATAGCCTGTTTGCGAAGTCCCCAATTTTTAGGTCCACATCCAGGGGAGCGCTCGTAGCCACCCTCGCCCATCTGGCACTGCATGTGATAGTACTGCGTCTCAGGACAATCCTCCATGGGATGCATCTCGATGCTATCACTGCCATAACCTCCAGAACCCTGAGAGACAGTCTTTATCCTTCCTGATGCTCTGCAGAAGAACAACGAGTGGATATTTAAACATCATCATTAGGATTTTCTAGTTTTATTTGACAAGCACATCTGTATCATCTCAAAATCAGAGTTCAACTTAGTCTTAATTGATAACAAAAATCAAGCTTGACTGAAACTATTGTAATTTTGATATAGAAATGAAGATAATCAACACTCTGTTTGCAAAAATCCTGGCAAAGGCCTGGAAAAAACAACAACTGATTTCATCAACCAGGAAATGCAAATCTTATTGCTTTTAATTAAAATTCAGACAGCTGTTCTAATAGAAGTTAAGTGAAAATAATAATAAACATTTATTTATTTATTATTTATGTTTCATTTAAAAATAGTGTATCTGGGATGTTGGATGGGCTCTCAATTGACACCAACAGGTGTAAATGCACGCCAAAAGAAACAGGCTGTAAAGAGAAAAACATGCATCAAACACATGAATGATGCAAACTCCAAGAGGCAAATCAACACATCCAGCAGAAAAAGGCTACGAAAGAAAAATACTGCAGTTACGGAAAATAAAAGCGGAATATTCAACCAACAAAACCAACCAATCCCAAGATGACTGTTCAGCGATAAAAATAAAAAAAAATCTAAAAATTCAAATTTAAGTAAATATTCAAAATGAAATATAAATCAACACCAACTAATGTAGCTCATTATCGAACCCTGTCGGTACTGGAGCTTGTACCGTGAGTAAACACACAGTACAAGCTAAATGAATTAATCAATAAAGGATACAGAATGTCTTATTTAATCTATATTCTTCAATTAAATGCACCAAATTCTAAAAAAATCCTACACGCCTCAAGGTTCATTTTCTAAGAAATTCTCTCATTGGTAAAGTCATACTTATTAAGTCATAAAAACTGCTTCCAAATTTTCATAGTGATGCTTAATAACAGCAAGAGAGGAGAACATGTTGATCCTCAGGGAAGAGCTTTTATTAACCCAAGACAGGAGGCCTAGACATCTACTGGCAACAAAGTGTGTCCGTGTCTGTCAGTGATTCAATGGGCAAGGCCTGACGTCACGACAGGAAATATATTCACTACGACCAGGGGATGACAGTTGGGTTAGTCAGAGTACTACGGCATGGCCATGTGTGTGAAGTTGGTGCCAGAGACCCAGAAGTCAAGCTTCATATTGAGACATGACAGCGCTTTTCAATTACTATCACTGCATGAAAAGTGGGATTTTCGTCAATATACGGCACTGTAGATTGTCGTGGAACTTCAGGTTAGCGGCAGTTTACGGCAATTTGCAGGCCTTGCCGTAAACTCCCGTAAATTGTCAGAAATTGACGTGGAATTTCTTAGGCAGTGTTCCCCCCATGCCTCCCCCCCATGGAATTCTAGGGGAGGCTTTAACATGTAAATGAACATGCTGTGAGCTATACAAATGCAAACCAGGGTTGCATTTGGGTAAGAAAATCTCTGATACAAAGAGATCAGGTATAGCCTCTTACATTTTAGCTTGAATTGATTTATTTAATTAAAGTATAGAGACCAAAACAGATCTTTAGCTGACAGAGCAATACATTTAGAGCAGTAATTATTTTTTTTTAAATTTGCATTTAAGATAAAAAATAAAATGTTGTCTGTCAATATGCTCAATTCACAATTACTTAAGTGGAAAAGTTTCAAGAAATGATTCTGAGATGATTCACTTTATAACATGGCGCATTATCCTGTTGGAAGTAGCCATCAGAAGATTGGTACACTGTGGTCATAAGGTCATAGGTCAGCATGCTAAATTGGTTTTAAGTGGCCCAAAGTGTGGCAATAAATATCCTCCAAATAGATGGTAGAAATAGATCAGGCCCAGTATAGCCTAATTATAGACTCTTACATTTTAGCTTGAATTGATTTATTTAATTAAAGTACGCTAGATTACTGTGTATGCAAATGTTATGTAAAAGAAAATACACAAAATAATTTACTTCAAAAATTAGTTTTAATCAGAATCAGTTGGCTGTAATGGTTAATTTTTTTTTTTAGATTTCCACTTTTTTTTTTTTTGTTATTGAATATATAAGAAAACAATAACAATCTCAAACAACAAGTCAATAACAAATATTTCAATACAAGAAGAAATATCACAACTCCTGCTTTTGAAAAATAAAATTAAATGCACAGGCTGGAACAAAGTATAAAATAAAATAAATAAAAATAAATAAAATAATAATAGGGTTTAAAGTAAATTAATCAGTGGGGACTACCAACTGAAATTCTTCAATTAACTCAAACAATTTAATTGCATTTAAATTCTGCATCTTTCTCAGACATCTTTTGAAAAGGGAAAGTTCATTTTTGAGAGCAGAGATTGAGAGGGAGCATTTTGCATAGCGACATTTATGGATATAATACTTTGTTACAATTATTAGAATATTGATTAAAAATTCCAAATTTTTTTTCTTTAATGGATAAACCGAATTGAATGTTTTGCCAGGAAATAAAATCTAAATTTATTGTTTTAGAAGACAGAAAGGTTCGAAGTTGATCCCATAAGTTTAATACTTCTTTACATTCATAAAAAAGATGTTTAGTTGTTTCCAATTGAGTTTTACAAAAGCCACAATTCTCAACATTAAACTTAATTCTCTCTCTTAAAAACTCATTTGAAGGATATATGTTATTTATTATTTTAAATTGTAATTCTTTATATTTAGGAGGAATTGGGAATTTCAAATAATTTGTCCTAATTTTGACTATCATAGATTTCTTAAAATTTTGTTAGAGAGCTGTGCTTTTTGTTCTTCCTGGGTACATATTATTTATAGAATATTGATTAAAAAACTTGTTGTTGCATTTATTATCTCTAATGTCCACCTGCTCAAATTCAATCTTATGGAGACAAACAATTGCAATTGCAAACAATTTATAGGTGCATTACCGCCACCTTCCAGAATGGAGCGACGCGAGCTCTTCTCGCGAGTCCTTCCGTATAACAATGACGTCGTATGTGATTGGAGGAGCCTGATGAGCCTTCGGCCCCATCGTCCAATCACGTGTGAGCTTTTGTGCACTACGACTTCTCGCGAGACCAGCATATTAGCAGACATGTTTGTGTTACTACACTTAGAAGAACTTCATCTCCATTTACCGTGTTTGTATTTTGTTGTTACGTGAACAATGGCTGCACGACGTCTCGCGTTCAACTCGCCTCCAACTGCTCTTAGTCCACAACTTTCGGCCAGCCCGCAGACTGACGAGAAGAAACTGCTGATTGCTATCAGCGGACTGTCTCGTCAGCTTGCCCAACATACTGCCGACATGAATGAACGCCTCACTCAGCTGGAGAATTCGATGCGCTCCAGGTTGTAGTCCATAGAGGACAAGATGGCGGCTCTGCAGTCGAGCAACTTTGCAGGATATACGAACTCGAGGAAGAGAAGACGGGTGAACAACGCCACGCTAGCGGTAAATATATGTTCGATTACTGGTAGCTATGCTAAAAGCAGCCTAGCTTAGCTAGGCAAGCTAAAGACAACCTAGCCTAGCTAGGTAAGCTAAAAGCAGCCTAGCCTAAAGCTTTATTAAAGTGTATTTTTTGTGATTCACAGGAAGCAATATGCCGTCTTAACAACTCGGAAACTAATTGCAGGCGCTATGAACCGGAGCAGGGGTAAGGTTTAAAGAATATGCGGTAAAAGGACATGGATACGGATGGATACCGACGATAGCTGTACTTTTTTTTTTTTTTCAGACTACAGTCGCCTCACAATGAGGCGGTGACCTCCTATTTGCTCGGATTTGCACGATGTTGATAAAGACGACATTGTGTGTAAGTGACTTGTTTTAATGTTTTCTCCTTCCTTGTTACTGTGACTTGCGTTTGATTTTTTTTTTTATTCATACCACTCTCATTTAATTGTTTTCCAGCTGCCTGTAAGACGTATTATGAGACGGTATGCAGGAGCTTCAGATACACGCTGCTAGCCAGCACGCTGCGTGCGGAGGCCGCCAGGCTATCTGCTCGGAGTCGGGCCAGAAGAAAGAGTAAGACTTTATTTGGTGACTATTTTTCAGGTGCATTGATAGATGTGTTGTGTCCATATGCAGTGCGCTGATTCATTGTTTTTTTTTCAGCTGCTGAAGGCGAGGCAGAGTGTGCTATCAGATGAGGAAGTGGAACTCTGTAAGTCCGCCACCGTCGACCTCATGTCCGACGAAGAAGATGGCGTCGTCGGCGGTGTCTCTGTATGGATTGTACGGTCGCCGCCATTTCGTAGGCCGGATCTCACTGAACTCTGTGTTAAGCTGCAGTCCCGGTTAGAAGCGATGCCGAAGTACAGGGCCACGCACAGTAGGCGTCTGCACATCGGACCTGCCTCGGAGGGAATGCTGCCTGTTACCTCCAACCCCGAGGAAGCAAACGGACCGTTCACGGAGTTGTAATTTTTAGATACGCATGTGTTTGGATACGCGTTGCATATAGTTGGGTGTGTTTTAATAAAGCTCTTTCTTTGCATAAACAGCTTCCTGGCAAATCTTAATTTCCTGTATAAATTCATTCATGTCCTTGATGGTAGCATAATAATTGTGTAGTAGTGTAGGATAACATAAATACACAGCATATGAATGAATAAATATATGAATATATATATATGAATGAATAAATATATATATGAATAAATATATATATATATATATATATGCCAACCAATCACGAGCGACTTTACTTGTTTAAAAGGAAGCGGTTCCGTCCAATACTCAGTAAGAAAATTAAAGCCTGGCGTGGCCACGTGTGGTTTTGCTGCCAATCACGAGCGATTTCACTTGTTTGAGAATAGTGGTTTCAGCCAATACTGAGAAGGTTATTCAAGCCAGACCTGGCCAGCCGCGCGGGTTTGCTGCATTCATATGCTAATTAGGGCCATTAGTACAGCTGATCGCTCTCCACATACGTCAGAGTCCGTTTCCGACAATTTGTGGCACGACAAACGCGGACAAGCACGGGTTGCAAATTGTCGGAAACTGACGA